TTCGACAATGTATCACTACATTTCGACACTTTTGCATTCAATTTTGACATTGTATCACTACATTTCGACACTTTTGCATTCAATTTCGACACTGTTGCATCACATTTCGTATAATAGTTGTTTTTAATTGCTATATTCATTATTTTTATTGACCGGATAAATTGTCTAATTTCCAAAAAAAAAATACAGGATTTCTCACCTCATTTTGAGAATGTATCACTACATTTCGACACTTTTGCATTCAATTTCGACATTGTATCACTACATTTCGGCACTTTTGCATTCAATTTCGACACTGTTGCATCACATTTCGACAATTTAAAAACACTCTATTTTGAATTAAAGTATTTATATTTATGATGAAAATTTTTGTTTAATAATAATGGGTTGAATTTAATTGGGACAATAAAATAATTAATGTGGCTATTTTTTTAATTCTGCATTATTTAAAGTGGGTACTGACATCATGAATATGGTTTCAATATTTTTTTGGATATACGTAAAATATAGAGGTAAAATAAACAATGTGGATATTAATTATTTCAAGTTACCATATTAGTTGTTTTTAATTGCCAGACTCATTATTTTTATTGCCGGATAAATTATATCCAATTGCCAAAAAAAAAAATATCTACGCTTTGGAAAATATCCCAACAATACATAATTAAATTGTCAATTGTTAAACTATAAATTAATGATATAATTTTTTATCAAGTAAATAAAAGCATTTGTCTCTTCAATACAACAAGAGTTTATAATAAAAGCTTAAATATCATTTTCAATATTTATAAACAGCAATGCCGAATCAAACAATCAACAATGAAAACCGTTCAAGGATAATTGAATCTTACTTAAATGGAAACTCACCATCAGAAATTGCAAATACTCTTGGATTTAAACGAACTACAATTTATTCGATTATTAAAAAATATAAAAATAGTTTGCCGATAGAACGGCAATTAAAAAGTGATTCTAGAAACAAAAAAGTAACAGAAAAGATACTAATCAAAAATTGGATTGATGATGATTGTGGAATAACGCTTAAGGAAATTAAACAAAGACTTTTTGAACAAAAATCCATTTCAGTCAATCAATCTACGATAGCAAGATGCATTGATGTTTTACAAAACGGTGCATTGAATATTGCTAGCACAAACTGTAATAATTATTTTGCGCACGTACTGAGGTATATGAATTCGTGTTCAAGAAGAGAACCAGTTATTGAAGAATAAACTAACTTTTGTAATTTTTATTAGCGAGTATTTGTAATTACAATACTTTATATACAATAATTTTTTTGTTTAGATTTTAGTTTGTATCTAAACTGAAAAATTATATTATCTAAATGAATTTAGAAAGAATCTAACTGCTTTATTTGTGTATTAACTTAAGTATTATTAGCGCTGTCGAAATTGAATGCAAAACAGTCGAAATCAAATGCAACGGTGTCGAAATTGAATGAAACATTGTCGAAATGAACTGATACAATGTCGAAATTGAGTGATACATTGTCGAAATGAAGTGGGAAACCCTGTAATGCTAAATTTTCTTTACTATAAATGCGTTTACAAAAGTTATTTTTTATATTTAATATTACTTTAGTATCTGTATTTATGGAGAAAAAAATTTTAAAATCATCTGTGATATATCATTTAATGATTCCTTTTTTACAGGGTTTCCCACTTCATTTCGACAACGTATCGTTCAAATTCGACATTTTAGTACATTTCGACAATGTTTCATTCAATTTCGACACCGTTGCATTTGATTTCGACTGTTTTGCATTCAATTTCGACAGCGCTAATAATACTTAAATTAATATACAAATAAAGCAGTTAGATTCTTTCTAAGTTCATTTAGATAATATAATTTTTTAGTTTGAATACAAACTAAAATCTAAACAAAAAAATTATCGTATATAAAGTATTGTAATTGCAAATACTCGCTAATAAAAATAAAAATTACAAAAGTAAGTTTATTCTTCAATAACTGGTTCTCTTCTTGAACACGGAATCATATACCTTAGTACGTGCGCAAAATAATTATTACAGTTTGTGCTAGTAATATTCAATGCACCGTTTTGTATATTTTCAAGCAGTTTCTCCTCAGTCCTAGACGAACATCTTCTGATAAACTGTTTTTATTCAGAAAACATATTTTCAATAGGGTTTAAAATTTGGTTTCAAAGAATGCCCAGCACGTACTATTTCATTATGAACAACAGCAATTTTATTAAAACGAACATTGTCTAAAATTAAGATAGCTTTAACAACTTCATTAACAGCTAATTGTGCTAATATTAAACGAATAAAATCTAAAAAGCTTTCTGCATTGAATACTCTTGTTTGTGCTTCATATTTCAAAATTCCGTTTTTGTTCATTGCACAACAGACGGAAATATTTCTTGACCGTATATTGGTCACTGCTTGTGTGGCCCTCTTTCCAGCTAAAGAACGTCCTCTTCTAACTCGCATTGAAAGACAAAATCCTACTTCATCAATAAAAAATATTTTATTGTCATTCATAGAAGACAAAATGTTCATGAATCTTTCTGCATAAGAAGCTCTTTCATTAATAACGTCTTCCGAATTTCTTCTCTCTGGAATATTGTGAACACGTTTCAAAGTATAATTAAAACTATCAATGCATCTTGCTATAGTACATTGACTGACTGAAATGGATTTTCGTTTAAAAAGTCTTTGTTTAATTTCCTTAAGAGTTATTCCACAATCATCATCAATCCAATTTTTGATTAGTATCTTTTCTGTTACTTTTTTGTTTCTAGAATCACTTTTTAATTGTCGTTCTATCGGCAAACTATTTTTATATTTTTTAATAATCGAATAAATTTTAGTTCGTTTAAATCCAAGAATATTTGCAATTTCTGATGGTGAGTTTCCATTTAAGTAAGATTCAATTATCCTTGAACGGTTTTCATTGTTGATTGTTTGATTCGGCATTGCTGTTTATAAATATTGAAAATGATATTTAAGCTTTTATTATGAACTCTTGTTGTATTGAAGAGACAAATGCTTTTATTTACTTAATAAAAAATTGTAAGTAACTATTATGGTAACTTGAAATAATTAATATCCACATTGTTTATTTTACCTCTATATTTTACGTATATCCAAAAAAAAATTGAAACCATATTCATGATGTCAGTACGCACTTTAAATAATGCAGAATTAAAAAAATAGCCACATTAATTATTTTATTGTTCCGATTAAGTTCAACCCATTATTATTTGACAAAAATTTTCACCATAAAAATAAATACTTTAATTCAAAATAGAGTGTTTTTAAAACGTCGAAATGTGATGCAACAGTGTCGAAATTGAATGCAAAAGTGTCGAAATGTAGTGATACAATGTCGGAATTGAATGCAAAAGTGTCGAAATGTAGTGATACAATGTCGAAATGAGGCGTGAAACCCTGTAATAATAGAATGAATAAAAATTAATTACAAATAAAATACGTACAGCAAGTTTAGTGAAACCTTGCAGAAAACAACTTTAAGTCCTAAACGCTTGCTGTCAGTGATATGTCTGGTGTAAGATATATTTTTATAGAACCAAACCATAACAGTATATATATATGTTTCTTATTTATTCAAAAGTAAATTTTAATACCTCAAGTTTTCATAATAGTTATGAATAAATTAAAGCTGCAATGAAATAAATTAATTATATGAATATTCTTCAAAAAAATATATTGAGGAGCTAATGGATCCCTAACCACAGCCTCTTGTCCAATTACAGATCCAGAAATTATTGGTGGTTGTGGGCGGATACCAAAATTGATTTGATACCAATGATACCAGTTGATACCAAAACTAAAAAACAAAAAAACCTCCTTAAATTGACAATAAGGCCTCTAGATTATTTTTTTTTTAAAATTCTGGTGGTGGTGGAGGTGGAGAGGTTGGGGGAATGCATATTCCAACCCTCCCCCCCCCCTCCTTTTGATCCGTCTTTGCTTTTCCCAACCCATCTCCCCTCTTTCCATCAAGACACTAAACATCCGCCACTGGTTGTAACGAAGACTTTAAGAAAAATAAACTAGTAATAATAATAATTAAAAAAAAAAACACGAAAAGTGAAGCCTCTTTGACCTTTTTACTGTGTTTACCTCCACACCGCCTTGGAGAGCTAAATACAGATAGAAATTATTATTTTTTTTTTTTTATCGCAACTGAACTGGTTATTTGTGTTGATTAAACATGTTTTACATGTTGTTAGAAGTTTAAATTGTTTACAAACTTAACCAGTTTGCAAAATATTGTAAATAGAAGACTCGTATAATGTTTTGCGCGAGTAAAAACATTTTCATATTTTACATCTTGATAAAAATAACTCCTTTACTTTTCAAATTCTAAGCTCACTTAAAAAATCTTATCTAATTTAGATACAATGTTGTTAGCCATATTTTATGAAAACTTTCATTAAAAACCGCGTTTTGTTTGTGCTACCAACAGTGCCGGACCAAGGAAGGAGGGGTTAGGGGGACTATAGCCCCGGGCCCCGCAAATTTAGGGGCCCCCAAAAATTTTAGAGTTTCTTTTTTTTTTTTTTTTTTTTTAAAAAAAGTCAGTTTTAGGCTTTGGCCCATTAAAAGGCCTTCAAAAACAAAAATAGCCTCGGGCCCCAAGAAGTCTTAATCCGCCACTGGCTACCAACACTGTTAGGCTTTCTTTGATAACCTAAAATTAGTGTCGTTGTTTAAAAATTATTCGGTCTTCAAAAAATAAAAATAAGAAACTTATACGTTGTTTTTTTTGTGTTGATACGCACCATAAATATTGCCGCTAATCTTTTAATTTTTTAGTTTCTGCAAAAAATTTTAACTAAAAGTTTTGGGAGAGACAAAAAGTGTCAGCCCTTTAAGCGTTATGACGTAACACCTCTGTTTTTAAAATGTTTTTAAAATTTTTTTCAAAGAAAATGTAAAAAAAATTTTTTGCAAATATTTTAAAAGTTGCTATTGGCTATACCTGAAATGACGTAATGGCATATATTCAAAATAAAAGACAGCTGAGATTAGCAGAATTATGTAAATAAAATCATAAATATAATGGCAGAGCAGAACAAAATATACGAACCAGTTTACGCTGTCCACAAGGGTAAACACATTATTTATTTGTAATATTATCTCGTGTTTAAATATATGTATGTTGGTTTTAAAAGTCTTTATCAAAATTATAAAATAAACAAATGTTACTATTGTACATATTAACTATAACTATTATTCAATAATATTAAAAGTATAAAAAAATCGTCTCAAATCTTTTACTATTATGTCATATTATAGAATATGAAACTATTTGAGTTTATTTGTTCTAAAAATATTTTGTTTGTAGCTCATTTTTTTTGAAAATAGCATTAATATTTTTTCAAATTTTTTTTGTTATTATATTATATTTTATAAAATTTGAAGTAAGATCTTTTTTTACACATCTAAATATATCAAAGAAATCTTTGATATATTTAGATGTGTAAAAAATGGTGCAATTATTTTTAAAAAAACTACTTTAGATGGTCTTGAGAATAAATATATCTTATATATTGTGTCTGTGGTCCTACAAAAGATTTACACGAGTTTTGTTTTTATTAATGGATATTTTTCATTTAAATTAGTAACAATTTTACAAATTTGTCTATATTCTAAATTTCTTGCTACAAGTCGTATTACAATATCTCATATCTCAAATAATCTTAACTAATGTTTTAAATGCTTGCTGATTGTCTAACAAATCTTTACATTTTTTTGCTATGCTAGTTTTATCAGCATTTCTAGTGTTCTTGTATAAAAGATTGTGAGTTTATTGTTTCTACAGCACATTTTTGACTATTTGTCAATTTTTTGAACACCAAACCTTTTACAGCACACTCAATTACCATATTTAATTAAATGGTATTGTTTAAATAGTACAAAGAGCTTTGACTTTTTAATAGTTACATATGTTGTATTAGATCTAATCTGTAAAAATTGATTGCAAAAATTAGGAGCTTTTCATTTAAAGCAGCAGTTGACTAACAGTTTTTTTTTTTTTTTTAACTAGGCATATAGTGGTTAGTTAATTCAATAATTTGTTAAAGCATATTTATCTATAAAAAGATAAAAGTTTACCATTTAAAAATGTTTTTAAATTGAATTGTTTAAACTCAACTAAACAAACAAATCTAAAAAAACTTTAACAATAATAACTTTGTTTATCTTTTTTTTTTTAATTTTACAATGCAAAGAAAATTGTTTTAATTTTCCTTTGCAAATGTTTTTTTTTCCTATGAAATATTGTAATTGCTTTGCAAAAAAAATTTAACTCAGGATGCATATCCAAAAATAATTTTTAACTGCAAAACAGGTTATTGCCAGGTAAAATATCCAGATGTAAAAAGTTGTTTAAAATCTTTTGTAACGTAAAAATATTTAAATAAGAAAATAGCATTATAAAATTTTGTCTAAACCACATAAATGTGGAAATTTAGATATTAATCATTATATATATATATATATATATATATATATATATATATATATATATATATATATATATATATATATAATGATTAATATCTAAATTTCCACATTTATGTGGTTTAGACAAAATTTTATAATATATATATATATATATATATATATATATATATATATATATATATATATATATATATATATATATATATATATATATATATATATATATATATATATATATATATATATATATATATATGTATATATATAAAACATTGAAAAATTGTTTTGCATTAATTTATTTAATTTAAAAATTAAGTTTTTTGTACGAGTACTTTTTACTTGATTACTTTTAATAATTTTAAAAATGTTTTTAGAAAAAAAATGGAGGTGTCACGAGTGTACTTTTTTAAATGCTGAACTTTATATGCAATGTGAAATTTGTTTCACTATAAAAAAAAGTGAAAATATTTTCAATGATCACTCAAATGGTGAAGTATTAAATAAAGACTTTAAAGAAAATATGAATCCTGAAAAAAAGACATTTATAAACTTTCTAAAAGACGCTAAGTTCAAGTTATTTAGTGAAATTAGTCAACAGCAAAATGATTCAACTGATAATACTCTTCAATCTAAAAATAACACACCAGAAAATAATTTCTTGTTAAATTGTAGTTGTAATAATGAAGAATTAAATACGGACAATTCTACTGATAAATGCTACAAGTATTTGCACAGACAGCGGAGTTTGAAATCTGACCAGATACGTGGCAAACATGAAGAATTGGCCATAGAGAAATGGAAAGATATTGTTTTGTTTTGTAAACAGGTTGAAAGTTAAATATAAGATTAGTCTATGATATGTCCACATTTACAAGCAAACATAATAACCATTGAAATTGTTTTAAATGTGGTTTTAAATTTAAATTATATATTAAATATATAATATTGGCTTTATAATTTGATATAGCAATTATTAAGCTTCTATGATAACCTTAATAGTACTATTATTATAATATTATACACATGTGAGTGACCTCTAACTCACATGTGTATAATATTATAATAATAGTACTATTAAGGTTATCATAGAAACTTAATAATTGCTATATCAAATTATTCATGACATTTTAAAAGCATTTAATAACCTATTAATATCACCATTTTCTCTATTTTACCAACACCATTATATATGGTATTCTAAATATTGTCTTGCCTATATATATTATCATTCATGTTACTTTAGTAATTGCATAAATTTATATTCTTTCTTTTTGAAATAATTTTATTCATTTTATCTGTAAGTTTTCGAGCTTTTGCAAATTATTTCATTCATAATTTGCTAGTGTAATTTGTGGCTAACTTTTGTTAACTGTTATATTTGTTATATTTCTTTCTACAGTTGTATTGATATTCCTCAGTAAAAGCATCACCCTTTTTTAGTTTTTGAACCATTATTTACTATTATGAATCTATTATTAAATTATAAATTTAATGAATGCTACAATGGTTACTATCATATTGGTTATGGTTACTGTTTTATATATTAAAATATCTTATAACAATTTGAGTAATCATATTTTTTTTTAGTAGATATACTTTATCTAGTGTATATACGCATTTCTTTTATTTATTTTTATATGTATTATATATACGCATTTCTTTTATTTAAGATAAAAATGTATTAAAATAAGATTAGATTTTATGATCATAGATGTATAGATGCATGAAAAGACTTAATTGATTGCCTTAGATAAAATGATGGTTGTGTATAATAAATTTGCCTAAATATCAGAAATATTGGCTTTTTGTATTATTTTTGTATTTTAACAATTAAATCAAAAGTTATGTTATAGTTTACTTTTTTTTAGGCTCAAATTCAATTTGTAGATGATAGTTTTCCTCCCTCTGCTAAATCTTTAACATTTAGTAGTTTACCATATGACAAAGTAACTTATTGGCTTCGACCTAAAGAGATTTTTCGTTCCAATACTCAAACTAAATGGACCATGTTTCGAAATCCAAGGCCTTCTGATATTTTGCAAGGAACTATTGGAAATTGCTGGTAAGTAAAGTTTATAAATCAATGTTGCCACCAAATCAGGGAAAATCAGTGAAATTTAAATACAATCAGAAAAAATTAAGGAAAAAGGATTGATATAGTTAAAAATCAGGAAAAATTAGGGAATTTTTTTAAATTTTGTATTATTTAATTTTAATGTTTTAAAATGTTTTATAGTAAATAATATTTCTTTTTTAGGTTACTAGTTTAATGATCAAATAGCTCTAAAAATTATTTAAATATATTAATAATTGATGATCATAAAAAAAAGTTAACTTTTGTTTTGATCATTTATTTACAATATAAACCAAAGAAAAAATTTAAACATTTTATATAGAATAATAATTTAAGAAAAATCTAAACATTTTATATAGGTTTTAGTAGAACCATTATTAATAATTTAAATGAATTTGTTAAGTGTTTTTTTGTGTAGAAATATCAAATCAAGTATATTCTGAAACAAGTTGTTTAACATTTCAAGGATATTTACAATAGTACGAGTACTAATATAAAGCTAATACCTAATACAATATATCAATATAGACATTTAGAAATATATTAATAGTAATAATAATATTATATTAATAGTGTAAATACTACTAACAATTAAAACAACAATAAACATTAAATCAATATATATAGCAATAATAAGTAATAATGATAGTAAAATAGAAAATAAAATAAAAATAAAAATAATAAAAAAGTTAATATTACTATCATCTGAAAACAAAATAATAATGATAAGAATAATAATCATAATATAAAATTTAATCATAATGAAAAAAATAATAATCATAGTAAAAAATCTTTAATAATGATGATAATATTACTAATAAAAATAAGATAAATAGAAATGAAAGAAAGTAAGTTAATGATGACGATAGATAAAGATTCAAGAAAATGCTCAACAATAACAGCGATTATATTAACAATGAATTTAAGATAAATAGAGACAAATGAAAGAAAATAATTTGACGATGACGATAAATAAAGATTCAAGAAAATTCTCGTCAATAACTATGGTAATATACTAACAATAAAAATAGCAAAATGAAAAAAATAAATATATAAAAGGAAAAGCAGAATAAATAACCAAGGAATTAAGGATAAGAAAAGACTAGGTAGATAGAATTTGATAAATAGATAGAGAATTTAGAGTTATTGAGGATAGGAGAATGAAAAGCCAGAAGATTACTAATTTATAAATATTATAGGGAGTTTGGAGTTTGACTACAGAGATATTTATTTGTATTTTATTAACAAGTGATTGAAAAGCTTGACCTTGAAGTCAGAGATTGAGTTTAGAGATTTTAAATCAGGGGGGAGATTGTTTAATGCGCTTATACTTGAAACGGCTTGAGCAAGTGAAGGTTTTTATAATTTTTTAAAACATATTGTATTTTTATTCTCTATTTTTATAATAAATAAAAATTTTAAAAATTATAGATGGCAACTTGTTTCAGTTGAGTGATCCATTGTTTGAAAAATGGCTGGTAAATGGCACAGATAAAAAGTCAGCCAAATGCAAAATATGCCATGTTCAATTGAATTTATCAAATGTGGGTCAGAGACCTGTGAAAGTTCAAGGTGAAAAACATTTGTGTCAAAGCCATTGTTTTGCTACTTCAAGCTTTCAGAGTATACATCCAAATAGCAGTTCTTTTAATAGATAAATCTGATAAAACCTTTGCGGAAATCTTTTCTGTTTTGCATGCAGTACAAAATAATTTCTCGTTAAACCCATGTAATGACAATGATCTACTATATCAAAAAACGTTCCCTGATATCATAATTGCTAAATCCAATGAGATGGGTAGAAGTTTAATTATATTATTAATTTAAAAAAATATTATACATGATCAATAGATTAATTAAAGATTGTTCACTTATTATCATTAGAATTCTTAAAATTTTTTTCAAGAATTCTAATGATAATAAAAGAAGAATTTAAGTTTCAAAAAAGTTTAAATTCTTCTTCTTTTCTAGAAGCAACTAGTTGCATCAGTTCAGAATCAATCTTATTGAAAAAAAAGAAGCTGATTTTTTTCAACAGTTTAAATTTGTACTTTATCTAATTCTTTCCAGCTTACATATCTCTTCAAATGAATGTGATTTTGCTTTCAGTTTATCTTTTTTTTTAGAAACATTGGACCATTTTACAATATTGCTCAATGAGTTTTTATTAGTGTTCTTAGTGGTATTAGTTTTTATTTACCAAAAATGGCAAATTTTCTTATTGTCTTTCTAGTTATTTAAAATACTCTAAATGTTGGTCATTCTTTTAAGCTTTAATTCAGAATTTTTTTTTTTTTTAATTCAGAAATTTTTAAATTAAAACAAGAGGAATAAAATTTTTAGAGCATTTATGGAAAGATTCAGTAAAGAAATGAGACTTTGCTGAATGACAAGTCCAGCGAGAATGAGTTTCAGTTTATGGAGCTAGAGATAATAGCTCTTTTGAGCAGCAACCATGATAGTATTTGTAGAAAAGAGATGCAACTTTACGATGATAAGAAAGAGGCTTAGCAGATAAAACGGGTCCAGAAGAAAAGACCAGCATGCCAAACTTTGTCAAGAGCTTTAGATATGTCAAAAGCAATAGCTCTAGCTTCTCCAATTCTATTTAAATGCACGACAAATTTTTTCAGTCACAGCAGTTAGCAAATCAGCCATAGAGCAAGAAGATAAAAAATCGTATTGATTGTCGTGACAGTAAGTTATTTGACTCAAGATGGGATGTGAGAAATTTGTTGATCCAAAATTCGAATCCCAGTCAGCTTTAGGGCAATAATAAGTAGTGCGATAATAGGTTGAACCTAAAAAAGAAGTATGAGTTGAAAGATTTATAGAGATCATTTCATGGTCTGAACCACCTATAGGAGAAAAATGAGAAACTAAACGCAAGCTAGGATCAGAATCAAGGCATAAATCAATACTTGAAGGTAAATGAATAGGATTGTCAGGAAAATGAGTCACAAAGTTAACTATCTGAATAAGAGATTGAGAAATGCAGAAATTATAGACAGCAGGATCAGTGGTGTAAGAGTCAGTTCTTTCAGTGTGATGAGCATTAAAGTCACCAATAACAACAATATTTGCCGAGGGGTAAATAGAAAGGACATGATCAATTTGATCAGAAAAGCATCTAAAAGAGTGCAGCCTTAATAAGAAGGAAAATGATAAAGAACAAAAAGAAAGATCATAGAGTGAAGAGATGCTAAGCGGAAGCACATTAAAAAAATGGTCAAAGGATTTGAAACTAATTTTATGACAATTAGGCGATTTGATGCGTATACATACCTCTAAGCCAAGCATGTGACTTTTGAAATCTTTGCAAATCAAAGGATAGAACACATCAAAGCTGAGATCTGAAGAACAAATAGTGGAAATTAAATTAGTCTTACTAAGAGCAAGCAAGTCTGGTGAAAATTTGCAAAAAGTAAGATTCAACTGATGGAAAGTTGCTTTGTACTGCTAATGCTCTGATATGCAGTTGTTAATGGAATCAGCTACTACAGAGTTTGGAAACATGACAACCAGCCAGTCTTGCAACCATTAAACTGAGTTTTATAGCAATACCCTCATTTAAAGATAACAGGGAAAGTTGCAACTATTAAGGAGGGACAAACAAAAACCTATAATTAGATTCATGAAGATTCAGAATTCATTATCCAAGGCAGAAAACAATGTAACACAGGTTTACATTTACGTCAGCCTAATAGATGAAGAAGGGGATTAAGACTGGTTAGTACAATTATTCTACTTACCCCGAAAGTCTTTGCCAAGGAGGCCTTTTATAAGACAGTAACTGGATGCAGATAACATCTGTCCAAGATGACTACTTTTATCAGAGACTTTATTTACCCATTATTTTGACATTCTCTATGTTAATATTTGTTTTTATATTTATTTCAAAGGCCATTTTGCTAATTTCAAGTTGTATAAAATATTTGATTATCTATTTGTATTATCTAACAACTTATTGTTTTATTTGTATAAAAAAGAAAGTTCTTTATATATGAAAAGACACTTTCCAGATTTTGTTTGAATCTGTTTTCTTTAAGGAGGAGGGGGGAATACCGTGTTTAGGGGTTTAATATCGAAGTTTTAATGCTAAGTTTACATATGAATTATAGAAATATTGAAAAAAAAAAAAAAAAAGCTAAATTTTATTCAAAATATCTGGGAATTTTTATTCAAGAATTATAGTGGCAACCCTATAGTAGTTGTCATATCAAATTATGATAGTATGTTTACAAAGTCTAAATTTTGTATGTTTGTAACAGCTATTTATGCAAAAAAAAATTTTAATAGTTACAAAATTAATACATTAAGGTAGGTAAGGGAAGGTTAACATTAAGGTAAACTATCCTCTAAAACTGTGCTAGTTTTTACTTGTTAATTTTTTTTTTTTACTTTTTCTTGCATTTGCATTTTTATTATTTTCCCTATACACAAAGGTATTTCAAAGCATTTTAAAATTAAAAATAAATAAACTTTAAAAAACTGATGTTTTTGTTTGCTATTATATATATATATATTTTTTTGAAGCATTCAAAACACATGCTTTTACAAATGCATCTAACAGACTTGATAAATTCTTTTAAGCGTGCTTTCAAGAGTTTCAGTATATGATGTTATGTAACTTTGTTTAATTATGGTCTTAAGATATTCTTTGAGTATTTTCAGATTTTTTAGTGTATTTTTCATATTTTTAACTGTTTAGGTTTTTATTTTCTGATCTTCACATTTTTATAAAACATCGTAAAATGAATTTAAAAAATATCAAAAAAAATTTTACCTATTATTATTTTTCTTTAAAAATATTAACAAACAAATATTTGGACATTTGTTTGTTTATTACATTATTGGTTTTGTGTTATTTTTAATATTATTAAATGATAAAGTATTTATCTTTTACAAGATTTCATTAATAAATTTATTTATTATTTAACCAGAATGCACCCTTTATCTCAATGTTGTTTTTCTCACTCCAGTCATTTAAGAGTTTAAGCGTCTAAACTCTCTCTTTCAAGGGTCAAATGTTGATCCAGAAGATCTAACGAGTGAGCTAAATATGCATCTCAAAAGCTTAAAGCAGCGTGTTTTTGATACCAAGGGCTTTGTACTTCCTCTACAGTGTGTTGATTTTGGAGCCAAATTCTCCTCAGAGTGTCAGATTTACATTCAAGAGCAACCTAATGCAAAACTGAATGCTGAAGAATCGGTCAGAAATGTAAAAATTCGCTGTCATGGTTTTCTTCAAAAGGCTATAACCGAGCTTGAAAAAAGACTACCAGATAACAGATCATTTTTTCAAACCATGTCAAACCAAGTGTTGGATGCAGTCATTCGAATAAAATCTTATTTAATGAGCTGAAAGATTTGTTGTAAAGACTTTAACATTCCCGATTTAATGATTTCAAAGGTCGGAAATGAAATTTATGCAACAGAAGCATGCGAAAATGAAAGCAAACTTCACGTATTAGCGGAACTTTATTAAATATTTTAAAGATTTACACTTAACAAAATAAATTTTTTAATAAAATAGTTCTACTTTACTTATTTTTTATTTTTTTTTTGTTCTGGTTTATTTCTGGTTTATTTTTTATATTTTTTTGGCTTGTTGCCAAAAAAAAACCTGGCAACCCTGATACAAAGCAGTGCCACTTTACAAATTTATTTTCACATTATAATTCTCTACAAGTAATGGTGAATTTATTAAAAAAAAAATGGTTATAAACTTATCTATATAAATGTCCAAACACATTCACTGTATAAAACAGAGAGCTATTGAGTTGTTTATATAAAGTGTGGTATTTATGTATTTTGTATATGCATATGCAAATAAATTTTAATAGGTTTTTGAGTGCTCTAGCTGTTGTTTGCGAGAGACCTGAACTTTTAGAAAAAATTATGGTGACAAGAGAGGTAAGATTCTTCACTCATTAAAATTTAAACTAATGTTTAAGACATAAAATAATGTCATTAAATATTTTTAATGAAATAAATTTATACATTTATAATAGTTTATTTTAGAATGTATAAATGTATTTGTAAATTGTTTTATAAACTTTATTTATACTTATATTAATTGTATTCTGTTTATTTTTTAATTAGTTACTTTATAGATTTGTGATGAAGGTGCCTATCAAATACGGATTTGTAAGAATGGTAAATGGATTGTTGTTTTAGTAGATGATCTATTGCCTTGTGATGCCAATGGCCAGCTTGTATTTTCACAGGTTTGATTTATCAAATTTGTTGCAAACTGGGAAGTCTAAAACATTCAAAAGTCTGAATTGTAAAAATAGAGTCCTTCATTATTTTCTGACCAGTAGTTAAAAAATATTTTCATAATCCTGGAGTTCAGGGTAAATCTGAAACTCCTAGAGTCTGAACCCTGCACAGTGGGGCGGTTTCGTACAAAAGGTTGGCCAAAATTATTTTTCCAATATTTTTTAAATTTAAATAAAATGTATATAGCTAAGTATGTATATTCAAAAATTGACATAATTTTAATCTACAGTTTCCTAGAAACTTAACTTTATAGCATTAGCGCAAATAAGATTTTTCCCCGGGAGAGGGGTTTGGTTCAAACACCAAATCAAAATTGTATAATTTAGATACTATATCAAAATTTACTTTAAAATTATTATAATTTATATTTAAAATAAAAAAAACATTTAAAACATCTTTAAAAATATTTAAGGGTTAAGGGGTGGGGGAAGGTGGGAGGAAAGAAGTTATCTCTGCTCCTGCCCTCCCCCCTCCTAAAGTTACTTTAAAAGGTCAACTAAGTAATTTTCAAGAAAAAACAACATTAAATAAACCTTTTTTTTTTTAAGTTATGTTTTTGAAGTTATTTATAATTATCCGATAAAAGATTTTCTTTTATTGTTATTTTTTATTCTAATTATCATCAGTTTCTAGATCTATATTAAAGTTTACATTAAATTGATCAATATTGTTGTCATCATCTGATGTGTCATCGTCATTTTTGTCATTGCTTGTATTAATGTCTTCTTATTCTAGTACTAAAAGGTCTTCAACTTCTTTTTGAAGAATATAAGTTTTACTTTTAGATCTTGAACTTAAAGATAATGTACTTGTAATTGGATCTGATGAGTTTATTGCACGTGTAAATACATCAAATTAATTTTCTTATGTTGAGTACTTGTGAGCATGTTGTAGCCGAACTTTTTTAGTGATTTTGTTGCAACACACTAGTGCTTCTTCGCCCAAAGCTCCTACGGGAACAGGAAAATTTAAAATAATTTTTCCTCCTTGTACCAATATTTTATGGACTATTGCAGGAATTTTGAACCAGCTTCCATAAATTTTTTAGAAAATTGAACATGTTTCCTCACAATAGTTGCTGAATATTTTAGAATGAACAGTATGGTTACTATTATTGGTTATTAAAATAGTACAAAACCTTTTTAAGAGTTTCTCAGTGATTTCCAGAATTTTATTTAAAATTTTAGGATTTTTGAAGGCTCTTCTGCAATCGTTTCCTGTAGTACTGTTACCAGGTCTTTCTGATCTTGGCTCAACAGTTCTCAATCCCAAATGCTTTAACATTAAAAAGTGTATACGTTTTTTCTTCAGCATACATTTGTTTATATCTCTTGGTTACACGTCAAACCTTAAGTTCAACACGGTGGGTAATATGGAGTAAGCATTCAAAATATTGAATCCAAGAGTGTAAAGGTGACAGGCCATTTACAAGAGCATCTTTTTTTTGCATTGAATTTTTTTAGGTTTTTTATATCACTTATCTCATTAGGTGTTGCTCCACAAATAGGACAGCATTGCATAGATGACGTGTCTGATATGAACGTCATAACTTTGCCATCTATCATACTTAAGATAAATGGAAAATCCACAAAAAACAAATTTGCCATTTGGCAAATCTAATAGGGTTCAAAATGAGATTTCTTTTTCTATATCTTGTTTGATTTTAAGGTAGTCTCATTATTTTCTTTTTTAAACTCCATGTAGATAGGTCGACAGAATCTTATACTTTGAGGTGTAGAATTTAGCCACATTAAATTTTTTGTGTTATTGTATAATGTTAGCTGCAATGACGTTGTCACTACTGTTATTAAATCTGAATCACTATCATTGACACAATCCATTCTCTGATAATATTTAGCGTTTCCAGAAGTTCCATCTAGTTCCCATGAACTCAATAATAATAAATCTTCACAACCTTTATTGTTCTCATCCAAATGCTTCAAAATAGCTGCTTGATTCAAATCAACTAATCTTTTGGCTGTGTTCTTCATGAGAGCCTTTAATTCTACTTTGATAAACTTTTTTTGTTGTAGTTATTAAATCTTTTGGTGGACAGCATATTTCTTTCATTTTTTTAATAGTTCTATAGCTTGGAAATCTAGCAGGTGCTTCATGTGTGTATCGTGATATCAACTTTTTGTGTGATTATGTGTGATTTTTTTGTGACAATGAAACACCTTAACGCTTATCATCTAACAACATGTCATTGTTATTTAATCTGTGTAATATTTGAATTGCTTCAGTTTGATGTTCTATAACATTTTTAAGAATCTTAAACATGATATAGTTTTGATTATTATTTGCTGTTCTTTTTGCTGCAAGTAAAACTTGTTCAATAGAATCTGTTTTAGGGTCAACTATGTCATCAGCTATTCAACATTTTCTTCTGTTGCTCAATTCAGAAAATTATTTTGATGAGTGTCTTGCTTTTTTTTTATTTGATAAGTTGGTATATTTTTCGATTGGAAAAGCTGGACTATCTAACCATTTTTTTATACTGGTTTTTAAATCTAGCATTAAATTTATGTACTTTTTCCCACTTTTCTTTATATCTGATATACAAAATTCTCAATAAATTTAAAGGTTTTAAGGTATTACATTCACAAATACTTACTACTGAAGAAATATACTCAAAAGCCTTTTGAGAATTTTTTGTGATGGTATTAGAGCCACTAAAGTGTTTGATGATTTCCCTTTTGGATAAGTTAGAATATTTTTTATTGCATCTAGTAGTATTTGCTTCGGATTCTATTTTTTAAAGTATTTTTTTACAACAAAAGTGTGTAGTTTTCTTTCATTAACAACAACAAAAAATTAAGCTGTTTTTATCTTTACTAAATCAAAGTCTTATTTTTATAAAAGGTTACTTAAATTGATATTGGATAATGACCCACAAATGATCCTTCAAAAATTGTAATTTAAAAACCACTTAGTTATTATAAATTTAAAAACCACTTAGTTATTAAACATTTAAAAACGACTTAGTTATTATAAATTTAAAAACCACTTAGTTATTATAATTTTAAAAACCACTTAGTTATTATAAATTTAAAAACCACTTAGTTATTACAAATTTAAAAACCACTTAGTTATTATAAATTTAAAAACCACTTAGTTATTATAAATTTAAAACCACTTAGTTATTAAACATTTAAAAACCACTTAGTTATTATAAATTTAAAAACCACTTAGTTATTATAAATTTAAAAACCACTTAGTTATTATAGATTTAAAAACCACTTAGTTATTATAAATTTAAAAACCACTTAGTTATTATAAATTTAAAACCACTTAGTTATTAAACATTTAAAAACCACTTAGTTATTATAAGTTTAAAAACCACTTAGTTATTATAAATTTAAAAACCACTTAGTTATTATAAATTTAAAAACCACTTAGTTATTATAAATTTAAAAACCACTTAGTTATTAAACATTTAAAAACCACTTAGTTATTATAATTTTAAAAACCACTTAGTTATTACAAATTTAAAAACCACTTAGTTATTATAAATTTAAAAACCACTTAGTTATTATAAATTAAGAGTTATTATAATCACAAAACACACAGTCGTAATCAAATCTTTTATAGCATTCACAATAGAATTACAGAATAATATTTAGTTATAAAGATACATTCTGTAATAAACGAATGTATTAAATGAGCATGCATTGCAAAAAATTGCAATGGTTGGAGCATGGGAACAAAATACCTTTAAAAGGTTTATCCCCTAACCCAAATGCAAAGACAATGATTTAAAAAAAAATTTAAATTCAAGTTCATTGATAGATTTCAAATTTCTTAAAATTATCTTTTATTGTTCATACGTTATGACAATCGATTGACTGGATACAGTACTCATTAAAGATGCAGAAAAGAAATATTTAAAAAAGACCTTCCATAACTAAAAAACAATTCAAAAAATAAGAGCGAAAAGGCCCTACTTTCACAACTACATTAAGTATATATTTTTTATCTTAAATCATCTAAAACTAGCCTCAATGGCCTTTCAATCAATGTATACATGTCTGAGGAAATACAACAATTATTTCTATATAAATTGGTTGGAACATTATACACAAAAATTCTCTTGGAGCACTGTTTTGACAAAAAATTTCACTTTGTAACAAAATAACTTGTTATTGATATTTTTTAAAAATTTGATATTTTCACATTTTTATCTTGAATGTCTTAGCAAATGAACCCACCATATAAACAATTGTGAAAAAGTATAAAAATTTTAATTTTGGCCACCCTATGTCCCACTGTGCCCTGAAGTCCTACTCTTGGACTTCCTTTCCCCATTTACAAGTTTTGTTGTACAAAAATAAAATTTAAAAAGTATTAGCATATACAGCTTTTAATTTTTAATTGTTTGTAAATCTATAGTTTATTGTTTTAATTAAGGTACAACAATAATATTATTTTATATTGTTAAAAGTAGTTAAAATTTGTTTGAACCATTCAGATCACAGATGATTAGTGGCGCACTAGAACCAAATTATAATCTAAATGGTTTAAATTGGTTTAGCATTCCAATTGATTTTTTTCAAAAAAAGCTTTTCTACTAATCCCACAATTATTTAAATTTTATTTAATGATTTAATAAAATTAATTTTTTTTTTTTAATTAATAGGTTTAAAACCTGTTGATTTTTTACAGCCTTAAGTTAAACTATTTTAATATATTTAAATTTCTCTGAATAATGAGATAAAAGATAAGTGATGGTTCAGATAAATCATAACCATCACTTTTGTAACCAAAACATCGCTAACACTTTTGTAACCAAAACATCGCTTTTGATCAGATTCCTAGTTTGTTTCAAAGTGTCATTCAGAGAAAAGTTAAACGTTTATTATTGTAATATAAATGTTTATAAACCATAAATATATTTTTATTATAAATGTCAATAATTTTTTTATCATTACATGATTTTAGGCTGCTAGAAATCAGCTATGGGTTCCTATAATAGAAAAAGCTGTTGCTAAGTCTGTGGGTTGTTATGAAGCCTTAGTTGCTGGTCGATGTATTGAAGGACTTCAGTTGTTAACAGGCTGTCCATGTGAATGCATTCTTTTATCAAGTAGGTACTTTGTTTTACTCAATGATTACCAAAATTATTTCAGGCTTTTAAAGTATTATAATTTTGTGCCAGACCATATGGATGATGCAGAGGAGGATATTGTTGACAAAGACTTAGTATGGGCAAAACTGTTAAGTAGCAGGAATGCTGGGTAATATTTTTTATATGGTGTTGAGTAATTTTTTTTACAAATTTTTTAAGAAATTTTTTTTATAATTATATAATAATTTTTAATTATTATTCAGTTATCTAATGGGTGCTTCATGTGGTGGAGATATTACAAATCAAGAAGCCATTGATGCGTACACAAAAGTTGGTTTACATGCTCAACATGCATATTCTGTACTTGATATTCAACAATTTGGAGATAATAGGTTAATTAAAAATTCTTTAAAGTTTTTCCTGACTATCACTTTTTTAAATTATTTTCATTTATTTAAATTTTCATTTTTTAAATTTATTATCTGCTATATCAATTTTATTCCATATCAATGTTAATTAAAGACCTTTGATAGGCTGATTCGTTTACGGAATCCTTGGGGTCGGGGTTCTTGGACTGGGCGTTGGTCAGATTCTTCTTTTTTATGGACTAATGAGTTGCGTGAAATGTTAAATGCGCATGGATCAGAAGAAGGAGTATTTTGGATTTCTTTAGAAGATATGATCAAGTATTAAAATCTTTTAATTTTTTTTTTAAAAAAAATGTTGATTAGCACTTTAACAAAGAAGTATTTGTGTAACTTTTTTTGTTTGTTGAAGTTAATTTTTATTATTGTTTGTTAAGATTAATATTTTCAAGTTATAGACTTGAGTTAAAACATTAAAAACATAAGTATTCTCTTTGTAAAAAATTATTTTTACCTAGGTTTCTAGTTAAATTACATTATGTATATACTTTACCTATGTTTTCTTTTAAATTACAATAGCCTTTAATTATAGACCCTAATAGCTTTAACTTCTAAAACCATTGTTGTTGTTTTTTTAAACTTAGATACTTTGATAGTGTTGATGTTTGTAAATACAGACCTGATTGGACAGAGGTGAGTATTGAAGGACGTTTTCCATCACCTAACAATAATTTTGGTCAGGCTTGTCATGTTACAGTATTTAATCCTACTGAAATTGATATAACTTTGTTTCAAGAATCTAACAGGTAACGTTTATTATTTTTATGAAAAAGGTTAGATTTATAGTATTATTAGTATTTTGAGATTTGCATTTTTCTAAAGTTTATATTTTATAATATAAAGTTTATAATATAAAGTTTCAGATTATTTCATATAGTTTATCACATCCAACACTATAACTTTTTTTTTAGAATAGTAAAGTTTTAAAAATTAAAAACTTTATAATTTTAAACTAATACTTTCAAAAGTTATTTAATAAATAGTAATTATTTTTGCATAGAGGATCACAGAAAATTTTTTTTATTTTTGCATAGAGGATCACAGAAAAGTTCATTAGCTACATTGGATTTGCTTATTGGTGTTTATAAAGCTACATCTGGTTCTAGTCAACCAAAACCATTAAAGTATATTACACACAGTGAACGGAAAATAAAACCATCTGTACTCTGCAATGTATTTTTGGATGTTGGTGTTTATCTTATAAGTATGCTTCATTATGTTACCTTTTTATTAAGCATTTAAAGTTTAATTATCAATTGATAATAAAAAAGTGACAATTGTTTTAGTCAGCTTTGTTTAAGTACATTTTTTTTCAAAGTACCAAAAACCAAACCAAAGGCCAAGTTAGAACTGGAACTGGATCTAATTTGGACTTTAAACTTTATTTTAAAGTGTAAAGAATTGTTTAATTTTTTTATCTCCTCAGTCAGGACCTGTTCTAGAACAAATTTGCTGGTATTTTAGCAAAAAAATTTATTGTAACAGATATAAAAGTTGGCTTGGCCCATCACAGGGGTCAACATCATATTGGGGGTCTGTCTGCTGTTGAAGATGAAATCATGCTGCATGATAAGCCAAGCCAACTTTTATATCTGGTAATTGTGATTTTTTTATGTTGTTCTGTTTTTTTCTCACAATATTAGTAAAATTCAGGTAACTAACTTGTTTTTTATTTTATTATTATTTCACTTATTTTTTATTTTATCCACTTTGCCCTCTTTTAGTAAGTTGTTTCTTTCCTCCCAATCAAATCAGAATTGGCAGGTGCTCTTCTTTGGAACCTCTCTTGTCTAGTCCAAGCAATAATTTTAGTGAGTAGTCACCATTATTCTAAAAACATGATTTTATAGGTTTTGCTTTATTTTTTCTACTCTGTGTGCAAATTAAAGAATTGATTTTGTAAAAAATTTTGAAAAATTGCCACAGTTAAGATCTAGTACAGCCTAAAATATATAGCCAGAATCTTTTTTGCTTAATTGACATCTATTTAAAGCTGCAACTAACTAAGGTGTGATAAAGTTTTTCCTTCCTTGTTTTGTACTAGTGCCAGAACTTATTGTACTGAAAGGTGGAAAGCAAGGATTTGTTAAGGCTGGTATGTTTATTGATAATCAGAGCTGGTATGTTGATTTTAATGTCTTTGCATTTGTATAAAATCTTGTGTAGTAAGAGATGATGTTAAGCTTCCAAAACATTTGATCATGTCTTCAATTTTTATTTTTTCTGTCTTTCCCTTTCTTCTTTTTCAGCATACTTTTTATCTGCTAAAAGTCCTTTTTTGCAACTCCCTCCAAGCATGGTGAAAATTTACTTTTTTTTTTACACAGATAGGTATGGTTTACACTTTCTAATGACAAGGATCAGTATCCTACCCAGTATCCTGATTCTCCAAGGATCAGTATCCTACCCAGTGATAGTTTGAGAGGTACCGGTCCAAAAAAAAAAAAAGGTCTTTAAAAAAATGGCCCTTGCCAAGTACTAACCCCTCCTCCTCATACAGTTAATTTATGAAGTTATAAATATATAGTTATGGTGATTTCATCAATTTCGTTTAACAAAATCTTTAATCATTTCTAATATTTAAATTGTTTTTTGATATTGTTTATGCAGTGTAAAAAAAAAATTTATTTGGGCGCCCATATCCGTCGAATGGTATAGAATTATGTCTGGGTTCAACACTGATGATATCTTTGATGAGGAGATCCTCAACTAGCCGCTAAATAATACTAAATTTTTAATTTCAATAAAAATTGGATAAATAAGCAAATTTGAATAAATAAGGTATCTCTTAAACTATCAAGTATCCAAAGAGTTACTTTTCAATTCTTCAAGCAAAAATCTATTGAGGTTCCAAATTTTAAAAAATTCCCTAAACCATTATCAAGATATTATATCTCAAAGTTGTTTTGCAAACAAAATAACAAATGTTCATTTTTTATAGCAATCTGTCAATGACAAATTTCTATAAATGCATATAAATTTAGATACATTACACTGTTTCTTAAAATGTTTTGTAAGGCTATCCAGGATACACGCATCAGAAAAATAAAATATAATTATTATGAGAATGATAATTTTAGTAATATTAGCAAAAATATAACAAATATCTCAAGTAAGTGTCGAGCAACTTTTGTTTTGAAGCACATAACATTTGACTTAATTAATTCCTTTTTTTTTTTTTGAATTGTATCAATTTTTTCTTGACATTAGTTATTATATTAAATTTCTTGATATTAGTCAATAGAACTAATGCGCAAACAAATTTGTAAATCGTTAAACTAAATCATAATGGTTTCAAATATATTTACCATGTATTTAAAATTATTATGAATCATATATAAATTGATTGTAACAATATTATTACTGTTGCATTGTAATAACTGAAATAACATTTTTATATATAACTCTAAATGATTTATTATTATTTATTATTTTTTTATGTTATTCATCTCCCTGAGTCTGAGAAGTCTGAGAAGGCCACTACTGTCAAGAAGGCTTTTTTTTGTTTGTTACAACCCTCTCTCAACTCTTTAACTCCAAAACAAGAACCTTGGCCAACAAGGCTGTGTATAGAGAAACAAGTTGAGTGCTGTACTCTACCATTACACCAATACCATGTATTTTAATAGTTATTAATATCTCATTTAATAGTTAAAAAAAAGTCTTTTTTGCAGTGCAAAAGATTTTTTGCAATCTTTTGCACCTAATAGACAATCCTCGTTAATCTGTTGCAATCAAATTCCATTTTCAAGAGATGTGTTTGTTTGTTAAACAAATTATAATGAATATAATAAAAAACATTTTTTTTATTTTTTATTTTTACAAATAAAAAATGAAAAAAATGTTTGGTCGGTGAATAATACTGCTGCATTTGAAAGAGATATTTTACAAATTCATCCATAAATCTATTTATGCAACTCTGAGTAAAACTTCAGCCGCAATATGTGTAAATGCTACCAGATATTGAATGCAGGCTTAGCAGAATACTTTGAAGAAAGTTTTTAAAGTGTAATACTTGCTGCTTTAAAAATTTGCTATAAAACAGTTGACACATGACAATTGTAATATTTCTAAAAGTTGATGAAATGTTCTTTGATGGATTTTAAAATGTTCAAATATTTAAGATAAATAAAATTTATCTTTAATAAATGTACTCTAAATCATTTGATAGACATATTTTTTTAGAAACAACAAAATTGGCTGGAAGGAGCTCTGAAGAAGATTTCCTGGTTGGCTTATGTGAAAACTAAAAATATTTGATTGCCACAAAATAAATGTGTGTTATAAGTTGATTAGCAGTTTAAATACCAAGAAAAAGGTTTTTGAGTAGCTCAAATAAACAAAAGGCTGTGTTAAGACTAAGCAAAGAAATATTGTCGTTTTTATCTTTTTTATTTAAACTAATTGTTGATTTTTTTTTTGTACTAACTCAAAAAATTATTAAAAAATCACCATCTAACAGACTGTTATTAGAATTGATATTCATTGTTTACTATGATCCTACATTTATTGTCATTAGGTCTAAAACATGGCTAAATCCTGTAAACTTTTTTTTTCAAAAGAATTTGTGAACAATGTATTTAACAAACCAAGTCCATATTTTATATAAATAAAAACTGTGAAAATTTTTTGTATCACCACTGATTCCTCCCAATTTTCTTTATTTGGAGAACTTCAATTTACAAAAAAACCGTACCGCTTAATGTTGGTATACCTCACATACCTAGAATAAGTATCGTTCTATAACAAATAAAAAAGTATGCTTGCGCTTATATGATGGAACTGTATAATAATAATTGTATAATAATTGTTTTCTTTTTCTTAGTTCCTGCTGCTTTCAATCATTGGAACAGTGGAGTATCTTTAGATGGTCCTCCTAAGTATGTTTTATCTATTCACAGTTCAAAACCTATACTCACTGACCATATAGCAATGCCCCGGTACTCATATTCAGATTCCTTATTTTTGTTGGTTGAAAAACATGGAAAAAGGCATCAGGTATTTTGCTTTTTCATAAAAAAATTTTAAATAATGCACTTTTTTTAGTTTATGTGTATTGTGCCTTTACTATGTAAATACTTTTTTAAAAGGGTATTCCTGGTGTAACTTGTTATTACATGTCATTGAAGCTAGCAGGCTTAATCGTAGCAGCAGAAAACCGTCGTTCAGATGTACATTTACATGTTGACTGCAACTGTGAAGAAAGTTTTAATGTTGTTTCAACACGAGGTAGTCTGGTAACAAGTGACTGTCTACCTCCCTTATCTAGGTAAGACTTTTTTATGACTTGTCATATTTATTGAGATATTAACTGTGTTTACCAGAGCAAACAAGGTAAACAATCTTCAAGGTAAGCAATTTCACGTTGATTTAATATCAGCTTTAACGTTGGTTAGACATTCTGTTAAGGTTGGAATTGGAAAGGTTTTTTAATGTTAAATAACGACGTTAAGTTGACGTCACAAACTTATGTTGATTAAACGTCAGCATTAATGTTGGTTAGACGTTGTGTTAAGGTTTTTTAACGCTAAATAACGACGTAAAGTCAACGTCACAAATTTACGTTGATTTGACATTGGCACTAATGTTGCTTAGGGGTTGTTTTACGATTTGAAATAAGTTAACATCGTGTAATTTACTCTACAAATAAATACATTTATATATATCCTCTTAAAATAAAACTCTTTTTTTTTTCTTTTTTTTTTTTTCAACCATATCAATAAAATTTACAAATTTCATCGTAAATTAATATAAATTGGTTAGGTGTCACTCATATAGTTACAAACTAGTCAATGGAGTGACACCTAAAAAACATTAAAATTTCACGAAAAAATAAAGAAAGAAATAAAGAAACAAAAGCAAACAAAAAAAAAACAAAAAAAAAAAAACAAAAGGAAAAACTCAACATCTATATATATAAATAAAAAAGAAAAGAAGAAAAGATTGTAAAACAAATAATAATGATATATGTAATAATAATAGTAATAATACAAAATAATAACAATAATAATAAAGTACCAATAATATTAAGAATATTATAATACAATATAAATTGTATGTACAAATCATAGATGATAATTAGATATAATAATAACATAAAATGTAACATTAATAACACAATAATAAATAAATATAAGATAGGTAAATAATAAATAAAGTAAAAAACAAACCACTTGTATGTTAAAGAGATTATTTATTGAAGACAACTACAGTAAAGAGAAAAATTATAAAAATTCACTCCAACAATATATTTTTAAATTGAATTCTGTTGAGCAGTAAAAAATTCGTAACAAGTGGATATTTTTTCTTAGACTTTTTTATTAATGCAGGAATACACTGGTTCCATTGAGAAATACATTGTTGTTTTATAGAAAACTTACCATATTTGATTGTGTTGAAAAAAGAATAGTATAGCTTACTATTTTCTGTATTCCTGGTGTGATGATTATGAACTTCGTTTGTTTTAATAAAAAAATTTGAAAAAGGGCTTGGCTCCAAAACTCCTATGAATTAAACGCGCTTGAATAAATTATCAAGTCTGTATAATGTGCCTGGAAAATCGCGTTTATTTTACATACTCAAAATACCAGAGAAAACGGAGAAGGCGAGCTTCGACTAAAACAACAAGATTTGTTTTTTTGGTATACATTTATTAATTAGTTTTAATCAAAAAAAGTTTGCTCAGACGTTTTTTTTTAACATTCTCTTTAATATAAACACAACATGTCTCGGGACTTGGTAGTCCCTTTAAGGAATGCTTAAGAAAACTTCAACCATCTTTAAAAATTAGCGTTCGGCTTGCGGTAGTTTTATAATAGAACTTCATTGTTTAGTTTTTAGCGCATTACTTTGCCTTGATTATATATTTTTTAGCGCATTACTTTGCCTTGATTATATATTTTTTAGCGCATTACTTTGCCTCGATTATATATTTTTTAGCGCATTTTTTTGCCTCGATTATATATTTTTTCAACTTCGAAAAAAATTGTTTAATTAAAAAAAATTATTTTTATTAACGAATTAAAAAAAATTATAAATAACAATAAGATAAATCACTTTTTATATAATAAAAAAATTTTATTCATAAATTTATTTGTTTTATAACTTTACATTTTTTTTAAGATAATACTTATATAATAAAATTATTATATTACAATTTACTTTAAATATATATTAAAACGTGTATTCCATTTGTTGCGTTATTATATATGTACATAGCCTAGAAGGTAAACAGTGAACTAAAAGAAAATAATAACCTCTCTAATTATATCTATTTTTTGCAAGCGAAAAATATGACTTAAGGAAAAATTCGGAAAAGGATGTGATTTATGTAATAGCAATAGTTTTGGGAAAAACAAGGCTTTTTTACCCCTCCACATCATTGTTATTACTCAAGCCACATAATTTTTCGACATTATCCATGATATATACTAACTACTATAATAAAAATTGTTTAATTACTTTGACAATCGCCTCGATTAACATCCAAAAATACACCCACCCCAATAAATAAAAGATTTATTTGTTTTAAAATATGCTTCGTAATATAAAATTTAAACTAAATTAATTGTTTTCCATATGCTTATTATGTTTTTAACAGAATTGTGGCTATGAAAATAGTTTAGTTTTGAAGCAAATCTAGCATTGACATCCAAAGAAAGAAAAAGTCAATCCTTCGAGAATATCTAAAACAAAATAATAGATTTTTAAATAAATATATAGATCACCATAGCACAATCATTATTAATAGAGAAGACATATGTTCTGAAAAATAAATTAATATCTATAATGTTATAAATATGTTATTACTGCATAATTTAATCTATAAGAATAAATTAACCTCATTCATGGTTTATTAAAGATTCATAGAAGCAATAGTCTATTTTTCAGTTTTCATGCTGTGAGTTAAAACCTAGCAATGATAGATAAAATACATCAGATATTTAAAATAATTACTACAAAAACCCATTAAAAATTAGGGGGAAAAGAGGTTTTTGTTTTAGGTTAAAAATAAATTAAAATAACTTAACTTCTGATGCATAACACATTATTCCATTAAAACAGAAATATTAATGGAACCAAATGAATTCTTTGGTTCCATTAATATTTTTTATAACAATAAAAAAAGAGGGTGAGGGGGCTTAATATACATATTAGGCATTGAGCAAATATTGCTAACCAAGACATTTACCTAATATCTATAAATGAAAATTAATAATGTAAGTATATAAACCATACAATAACACATACCTTATTATAATCAATTTGCACATCATTTTTTAATGATATTACCATATTACTACTAATAATGTCTGCAGATAGTTGGTATTTGCTCATTTCATACTCAACAGCATCATCATCCTCATTCTTATTTGATTTCCAATAAGAAACTACGTATATAGCACTGTTCTTCTTTTTAATGCTAAGAAGTCTGCCATAATATACATCTTGGCTGTTAGTTGTATTATCAAACCATAAGTAGCAAATACATCTTCCAATAGCACCTCCAATAAAAATTTCTTGAGTATCAGAAGCCTCATTATTCTCTAGGTCAGGAAATATTTCTTTTATCTGATTTGGCATACTATTTTTTTAAATTTTTCTGTTTTCCTCTGTTCTTTGACATTTTTATTTTGAATTTTGTCAGCCATATGTTTTATAAGTTCTGACATTTTTTTATGACATTGTGCATTTGCAAATCAAGTTTTTCTGGCATTAGAAATAGCCCATAATATTAATTTGTTTTAAATATCAGTAGGCTTTTTGGAGAGTAGAGCAGTTGTTTTATTTTTAAAGTACGAAGTTTTGAAGAAAGAAAACAAAGCGTGGCATTTGGAGCTTTTTGCTTTGCAGCACTAAACATACCCATAAGTTCTTCTGAGTCAATGTTTTAAAGTCTTGCTGATTTAGTCTGGTTCATTAGAACTCATGTTGAAATGCCGCTTGAACTGCCTGTCAATGACACTAACAACAGCTTTCAGACATTCAGCTAATGTTTTACTCATTTCATCAGTTACCAGGCAAAACTGATTATTAAATTAAAGACAGGATCTTTAATAAGATTTCCAAAAAAATCAGTTTTTTGTTTAATTGGATTTCGAGAATCCTTGCTGCTTTCAATAAGAGTGTTCCAAACTTCTTTGACTACCTGAATGCCAGATACGTAGTCAAGTCCCTGACCTGGTAAAATATAATGTCATCCAAGGACCAGTCAGTAGCTTTCCAATTAAAGCTAGGGCACATAACTCACGGATACCTGAAACAAAAAAATTATAAATAAACTATAATATTAGTCTCTGATAATCTATAATCCCCTAACTATTACTGCAAGTATCATTACTATTGGTTTTAAAGGTTTATCCCATAGCTTTAAATATTGCACCCCTTTCTATCAATTTAAAATCTGAATGTGTCCAAGAATGGAAACAGTCATATAATAGATTCACCTGCTTTAGATGTAAAATCTTGGAACAAACTATATCTCAGACCTCAGCATAACGCTAAGCTAGAAAACAGAAATGTCTTCAATATTTCATTGTAACGAATCAAAATATCAAATGTGTGAAAAAGAATGTGTAGTCTGTTCCCTCTGTATCGTGGTAGCAGTCCTCTGGGTAGCTTGTGTTGGTTCAAAAAGGCTACAAAAACCCTTTGGGTCACCTTTAAATAACATAAAGTAATTATTTTAAAAACCATAAGGCGCATGTGAAATAAGAAACATTTATATGTTAATAAAAAAAATATTTTAGATTTAGATATAATAATTCACAAAATTACATTGGATTAAAGTAAATAAGTGGGATTAATATTATACATGTACCTTTTGCATCCTTATAGTGAAGTTTGTTCAACTGTAAAACAATATTTGCTGCATTGCAGTCTCTTCCAAAAAGTTTCTATTTAGAGGTATCTAATGCTTTGAGTGAAGACTTGCACGAACTGGTCATTCTGCCCAAGGGGTGAGGGTGACAGTTGAGTTCATTTAATGATTTTTGCCAAACAAAGTTTAACTTAGTAACTGTCGCATGGTTTGTTGCTACACTGTCACTGATTGTGTTAGTTATGTTTCCAATAATAGTACTTCGCACATCAGTGAATTGTAGCTGGTAGAAGTCACTATATAACTTGGCAAGATTATCAACAGATTTTGTAATGTGACTCTAATAGTCATAAGCTGTACCTCCAGGAAGTTGATCAATAGCTACAACCATGTATCCTGATTCTGTTGTTAAGTGCACAACATTTACATGAACACCTTCCTGTGTTGTTGCATCAAAACCAAGTGTCAGATTTTTTGTTGAGAAAGCTATCTCAGCAGTCAGTAAGTCTAAAATTACGCCTAGCTCATGCATTATTTGTTCCACATTTGTGCGATGCAGAATGTGACTAAATCGATAGTCAGTGTGTTTTCCAATTTTTCTGAGCAGAGTTGGCACACTAAGAACTTGGCACACAAGGATGTCATATATAAGTTTTCTTATATCTGCTGAGTAGCATTTTTCATTTTTGGTGTTTTGTGTTATTTGTTGCATTTGCTCCACGTTTTCCTGTAAAATCAGTATGTCATTTTGCAGTACAGGGATTTCAGAATTTTTGTCAGCAAGTTGTTGACTTAACATAGCCTTAGTTGCTTTGGGTAGATATCAACTGTTGTTTCAAACTAAAAATATGATTTTGAAGTTGCTAACTCTAAACTTTTCCTTTAATTTTTTTCTAAGATGAAGGATTATCTTTTCTTTGTGAGTAATAACCTGATTTAGATATTTAAATTGGTATGGCTGAGCCTTTGTATTTTCTCTTAACTCTTTTTGATCCTCTTTATGCTTTCGCTTTTTATTGGCCATTTCATTTGTCAAAATGGTTAACCTCTTTCGCAAAACTTTTTTCCTAGAACTCAACTAATCAGCTCTCAACCTGGGTAGTAGTGGTTATTAAAGAAGGACCAAATAAAGAAGGTGATAATTGATACAGAAAAAACACTGATGTGTTGAGAAGATAAAATAGAACACGAAACAATGTTACTTGAGCTTGTGGTTGAATACAATGGTTGTGGCACAGCAGATATTGATTTTTGGTATGCAAAGAGCATGTTGCAGATATTAATAAATTGTTTAGAATCCCTTGAAAAATTACGTGCATAGAATATGGATCTAAAAATGCTCTAATAAAAAATTTTAATGATCATAATAATTATTTTATTGAATCAACTTTAATCATTAATACACTTTTTTTTTTTAAAAAAAAAAGCTATATTTCATGCAACAGAAAAAAAAAATAACTTGATTCTTGAATAAAATGTAAACAAATAAATATATAACATAATTTTTTTGTTTGTTTGTATAAATCATGTTTTGAATACTTTTAAAAAAATCACTAATATTTTTGATAAAGTTTCATTTTTCTAAAAAAACAACTTTTTAATGAATAAAAAAGTTCAATATATACCAAATGCTCATAATCGTGAATCCTTCCCCCCTCCCAACCTCTACAACAGAAAGGTGATCCGCTTTTCGACGGGAACGGGAAAGGAAAGAGAAAAATAATCACGTGAGCATGCGTAGTTTTACTTCGGACATATTAAAACTTATAATACGCATGCCCACGTGATTATTTTTCCCTTCCCTTTCCCGTTCCCGTGAAAAAACGGATAAGTGGAAACTCACCTAAAGAATATTTAGCACCTTTACTGCGTTCAAAAGTAGAGTATGAGCGTGTCATTATTTTTTAATGAAATTTGGCAGGTACATAAAAAATAGATATATAAAATTGACTGAAAAGTTAGAGAAAAAAACCATCATGTCTTCAATGTCAGTTTACTTCCAGAACAGGAACAAAGTTTTCAATAGCAATGAAATAACTAAAAACTTTAGTAACTGCAAAAAAAAACAAATACAACACTCTACTTTTAAAATATTATATAAGTCAATATAAAATTCTAAAAAAAGACGACCAAAATCCATCCTTACGACACCTACTTCAAGCACGCGGTAAAAAAATGGTCACAGATTTTATTTTTAAAATCGCAGATACGCACGTACCTATATAATACATTACCAATTCTACCTAAGAAGATTATTCTTGTTTTAAGATCAAACTCTTTAGCTTCAATTTAAAATCGGTGCCGTAAATCGCAGATACGTACGTACCTATATAATACACCAATTCTATCTAAGAAGATTTTTCTTGTGTTATTTTAAGATTTCTTTAGCTTCAATTAGAGTTTCTAATCTTTTTACTGATTCACTTAGAATAAACTTTTTTTCTTTCTTGCTAACAACAGCGTTTCTAATTTCTGTTAATAGCGAAATAGTTTTGAATTGAAACTCTAGAATTAAATTGTTTAATTAAATCTCAATACCACCAGTAAAACTATTGCTTATCTGTACCTATCTGTTTTACCTCCCATTAAAAATACAAATTATCTATGATACAATAAGAAAGACATCATGTGCATTTTTATACAGGGTTTAAAAATCATAATCCAAATAAAAATCCAAGTAACTTAAAATAAATATTAAGAACATAATCATTACACACCGGCATCTGAAAGTGGAAATTTATTCCATAAGAAATTCCATCCTTTTGAGGTTGAAATGTACCACTAAATTCCTTTACGAAATTAGTTTCAAAAACCTTCTCAAGTGTCCCAAATATTAAAAAAGTATGTTTTAGAAATAAAAGATAATTAAAAAATTAATACCTTTTCCAAAGAAAGCTTTAATAATATATGGATAATAAAAAATGCTTCTTTTTATACCAGTCAAAAAAAAAGGTCAGACACATTTTCTGTTGCAGTATTAAAATACTAATTTAATAAACGTTTTTCCAGAAAAATGGCTTATTTAAATAAATGGTATGTTTATACCAGCCAAAAATTTAAAATAACGTATATTCGAGTTTTATTAGTGGTCACACTTTCGGCAAATTTTAAATACTGACCTTAGGTATATTTATTTCACGCGTGTTCGTTGAACTTTATAATTTTGCAGAAATTAATTTTGGCAAAATAACGTTAGCAAAACCAACGTTAATGTGACGTTAAAACGACAAGAGAGATTTGAAGTAAAAAACCTAACGTTATGACAACGTTGGATTTAGCTGCTCGACATCGCCGACTAAATACAACATAAATCCAACGTTGAATTGACGTCGTGTGCCCGCTAAGTTCATATGGAAGAAATGCGGGGTCTCAGAACCTAACATTTTTGAACTTGAACTCTGTGTGAAATGGATATCTTAATTGGTTGCAGGATTCCTAATGTTCTGCTGCTTTTGTTTCTCTGATGTTTTCAAGTTTCTAAGCATTTTTGACGCTCATAAATAGTAACTTTAAAACTTTTACCTAAATCCAAGACTAGTGTAATAATAAATTATCTTGGTAAAAACAGTGAGTAAATTTTACTTTTTTGCCATCCAACCTTATTACTATCATTTATAATTTTTTAAATATTTATTATACTTTTTTGGTTTTTTAAGCTTAAACGTTTTTTTGTTAAAGACAAATATTAACTGTTTTGACGCAACTGGAAGGAACTGATGGTTATTCTGTATCTCATAAGTTAAAGTTTCGAATATCACCGAAAAACGGTTATGGAAGCTACGGATCACATCAACATCCTCTTTTGTTAAATGGTTTGTCTGAAATTCATAATCCACGGCCTCTTTAGATTGTTTATTTATTAGTTATCATTTAATTTGCGCTGCAAATAATTTAATGTATTTATTGTACATATGCAAACTTCGAGAGACTCGAATTATAAATATTTAAATTTTTCTAATTTTTTATAAAGTTATTTATTATTTTATAAAGAATATTTATTTGTTTTATTTCATGTAAATGTGAAATGGTTTTGTGTTTATAAAATATATAAATATAAAGTATATAAGTGTAAATATCTATTTATTTATTATGCTTGGAAAAAAATAGTTGTATGTTAAAAAAAAAAGTTATTTATAAGTATTATTTTATTTATTTATTTTTTTTTTTTAATTTTTTTAAAAACATCAAAACTTTTTAATGTATTTTTATAGTTCTTTTAATAATTAATTAATTTTAAATCTATTCATTAAGTAAAATTTTGTTCTCTAAAAATCCAGAATCTCGGTAGTATTAGTGTTGATGCGGAAGGAAGTAGCTTTATTGTTTTAAAATGTTGTGCAATACACTGGATCAGAAAAAAAAAAAGCAAAATTTATAATAACGCATGCTATTGAAAGGGGAGGCTGAATAAGCGCGAACTGGCGTAAGTGCGAAGCATTTCAAAAACTGGAATAAGTGCGAACTGGCATATGTGTGAATTGGCATAAGTGCGCTAAAAGAATTTGCAATGATTGGCATAAGTACGAACTGGCATAAATGCAAAGCAGTTATAAAAACTGGCACAAGTGCGAACTGGCATAAGTGCGCCGAATAAATTTACAAACATTGGCATAAGTACAAACTAGCATAAGTGCGAAGCAGTTACAAAGACTGGCATAAGTGCGCCGAATAAAATTGCAAACATTGGCTTAAGTGCGAACTGGCATAAATGCGAAGCAGTTGTAAAAACTGGCACAAGTGCAAATTAGCATAAGTGCGCCGAATAAATTTGCAAACATTGGCATAAGTACGAGTTAGCATAAGAGCAAAGTAACAATTTGCAATTAAGCCAATACTTGCAATTTTATTCGGCGCACTTATGTTAATTCGCGCCTATGCCAGTCTTTGTAACTGCTTCGCACTTACACCAATGTTTGTAAATTTATTCGGCGTACTTATGCCAACTCACACTTATGCCAGTTTCTGTAACTGTTTCGCACTTTTGCCGATGTTTAAAGTTTGTTCGGCGTACTTGTGCCAATTCGCACATGTGCCAGTTTTTACAAAAGCTTCGCACTTATGTCAGTTTGCATTTATGACAGTTCGCATTTATGCCAATGTTTGGAAATTCTTTTGGCGCACTTATGCCAATTCGCATTTGTGCCAGTTTTAGTAACTGCTTCGCACGTATGCCAATTCGCATATATGCCAGTTCGCACTTACGCCATTCGCACTTATGCCAGTTTGCACTTATGAAATTTGCGCTTATTCAGCCGTCCCTATTGAAATACTTTTTAACATTCCTACTAGTTGCACGCAAAGTATTTAGGCGTAATTGTCAATTTTTGTGATAACGCAGCATTTTAAAAAATCTCAATAGTATTCTTTTTAACAAGTTCCTTATTTTTGTTATTTCGTTTAAATACGTAAATTCAATAAATTATAACTTACACCACAAAGTATTTGACATAAAATACTAACTTTGTTCATTAAAGTTTTTGACATAAAATACTAACTTTGTACACAAAAGTTTTTGACATAAAATAACATGTTTTTTATTTGTGTTCTCCAAATACGTAAATTCCAAGACTAATAACTCCTATATAATGACTAACAAGCAGATCTTTCATTTTATAATTCCAAGTTCTTTAATTTAAACCCCTCTAACTGGTGTGACATTAAAGTCTATTTAAATGGATGAGAACAGTAATCAAACCGCATTTTTTAGCGCTTTGCTATTAAAGGGGCATCGCTGTGTGGATAGAACAAATAATAGGCTAACTTGCTTTTTTGTTTTAGTACTATCTATTTTAATTAAAGCTGTTACAAATTTAACTAAAAATAAAAAGTTATTATTTTGTTAATAATTTAATTTGAAGTCTAACTTATTTAACAAAGTTTACGAATGCCATGTTGCTGTGGTTAGAGATATGGCTCAGAATCAAGAACTCCGAGGTTCTACCCTGGCTCTACCTATTAAACAATATTGGCGGGGAAAGAGGCGTGAACTTCCTCGTTAAATACTCTTTTGCGGTGCTCTGTAATAAGACCGTAAGGATTTCTGAAGGCACCTTAATAATCACTCACAAAAATAAAGTCCTATGCACTTTTCACTTTAATTGCATTTAAAAACTTCATTTTTGTATTACTTTCTTTATAGACAATTTTTTTCGTTCTTATAAACCTTGTTCAGCATGTTATGAAGTTTATAAACAACATAGCATTTTTTGCAGGGTAGTTTTTGTCTTTAGTGGGACACATTTATTACCGTACGCAGCCGTGACGCAGTGGTTAAAATTTTGACTCAAAATTATCTTTTAGAAAAAATTAATGAACATTCGAATATTGTCCATCGTAAGCAGTTCGACGTAGTTTTCTCATGATGTTTTGAACAGGAACATTATACAACATATATATCGATTTGACAAATGCATCTTTTGATTCGGGTAATCAATTGTAAATTTTGATTGGGGTAATCAATTTTTGAGGCTTGCGAGTTTTACATGTAAAACTCGCAAGCCTCACTCGCAAGCTGTTACAGAATAGAGATCAGATTTAAGATCTACATTCTGTTCTGAACTATCAAAATGTGAAGACTTTTATCAAGGAGTATATACTCAAAAAAATGTATATCAAAAAGTGCGGGAAGTATGGGGGGGGGGGAAGGATCAAAATAAAAGAGTACGTACTTTATGGACGACCCCTTATTATGATCATTTTTTATGAGAATTATATTTATTATGATCGTTTTTTTAATAAGTAAAAAAATGATCATAGTAAAGTAACGGGCTTCTGCGAATTTCTATATTGTTGTTGTTTTATACATTAAAACTTTGCACGTTTTCCTGGAGCAAAGCAAAACACTGGGAAAAAGTGAGACATTTAAGTATTTTAACCTTGTATATAATTTTTTGTTGTTGCGGTCATAATAAATTACATGTCTTTGTTTCATGTTTAAAGATAATTTCCATTATTTATTTTTTTTCTTTTGTAAAAGTTTTTAAAAATTGATAAAACTTTACGTAGATTTTTTACCACAGAGCAAACATAAATTTGAACTTTTAATCATTTATTTGTTATCTTCTTTTTCTAGATCTTTTTGTTTCCAAGATATTCATAAATAATATATATTAATTTTTTAAGGTGAAAGTGCGTTACTGAAATTTTTTAATTTCAGTAACGCACTTTCACCTTAAAAAATAATTTTTTAAGGTGAAACACTTGTTACTGAAAAAGACCGTCTAAATATTTTAAAAATCTATCTAAACTTGTTACTTATCTACATTATATAAAGAAGTAATTAAAACTTATTAAAAACTTTAAAAAAATACTTGACATAACTTTGGTGTTATAATATATTTTCTTTTTAGTGACTTACTACTAATTTAAATAAATTTGTAATGTTGTCCTTTTGAGTAGGCGAATCATTAAAATATTCATAAAAAGTGAAATTCTTTTCAAAACAAAATTTTTAAATAATAAACTAGAAGAGAAAAACTTATCAAGCTTACTGGAATAAAGTTGACATAAGAAATATTGCAGCCGTAAACTCAAAGCAAATGTCTTTAACACAAGCTTCGAAGAGTTTTAATGTGCAAAATAATTCATAAGACCAACCATAGTTATAAAATCTGTTATTATGACTATGGACCAACGTGTTAAAACGCTTTAACTTGAAAGTAGTTTACATTAAGGACCGGCAAATATTCGTTAAAATTCGGATTACGAAGTTTACTGAAAGGCGAAGTTGGCTTCGGTGCCAAAGTTGAAATAGAAATTCGGCTTTCAGTTAAATTCGGTAACAATTTCAAAATTTCATTTAACTTTCAGTTAAATTCAAAAGATATAAAGTTTTTTTTCAATTTGGAAAGAAAAAGAATTATAAAGTATATTATATGTTTTATGTATATCAACCTGTTTCTATAGGTTATAACCCTTATTCAACTCTTTTACTCCGAAAAGTGTTTCGGAGTTAAAGAGTTGAAAAAGGGTTGTGGAGAGTTGAGAGAGGGTTGTGACCATTGTAAGAAGTAGCTTCCTCGACTAATAAACTTAAAAGCAAGAGACCTAGAGTTTGAAGCAAGCTCTGGGAATATTTCGCGCTATCGGTAGGGAAGGAAGTTTGAACTTCCTATTTTAATACTTTTCTGATGCAAAACCGTTAGGTCTTCTTAACGCATTAAAAAAAAAAAAAAAATTTTTTTTAAACTTATAAAAGTTCTTAAAAAATTTCGAAAATTTTTTAAGAAATTTTTCGTGTAAATTTCAACCCCCCACCAACCAGTCTCACACCCTATCCCGTTTCATGCACAACTTCGGTCAGGTGTCAAAGAAACACCCCCTACCTTTTCATCAATTATGAATTTTTTCCCATCTACCCGAATTCATGTTTTCAAAAAATTCTCATTTCACCTTATTTTTATGACCACCCTCCCTGATTCAAATTTTTTTTAATTATGCATGTTAAAAATCGTTACCAAATTTGGGTCATTATTTTTTCTATAAAAAATATCCATAAATTTAAATAGAATTCAAATTATACCTATATTTCATTTTTGATATCGGAACACAAATAGTACAGTCAAACTTTTATTTATTGAGTATAAACTCAATTCAAAATATATGCTGATGCTCCACCTCCACAGTATAAAAGTTGAAAGAGTATCTGACTGAAAAGTATTCATGAACCATCAATTAGCAAACTGCTTTTCCCTGCACAATTTTTTTTTTTAGTTTATAATGTTAGTCGTGTTACATAATTCATAAGTCGTAATACATAAACATAAGTCGTAATACAATTACGTAAACGATACAATTAAGCGTACTAACAATATAAAAATTAGGTTTCCGAAAGAAGATCAGAAGGATCTAATCATCGGAACCTTAAAATGTAAAAATATTTCTGAACAAATTGTCACATTAACATACAATCCTATTGAAAAAAGAACCCATAAAATACCAACTTATATTCACTGATAATTAATTATCAGTGAATATAATTATCAGTGAATAACAAACACTATCAACAATTGTTGATAGTGTTGTTAATAATTGTTGAATTGATAATTGTTATTGATATTGTTATTGATATTGTTA